ACTTAAAAGGTTACAGGGGAAAATATGTTAAACACTTCAAACAACTTCTGAAGAAGAGCTGAAAAGCATAGAATCATATAATAATACTTGCTTGTAGCTTCAACAGATGGAGCCAATAAGGTTTGCAATTGGAATATTTGTAGTACAGTATAATATTTAATGAGAATACTTTTCTATGACTGCTTAAATATCAAAGTGAGCGATACAGGCCCTCTGGGCCTCTTGTTGTGTATATTTGAGGGTTTGAGCCATTTAATTATGGACTTCAAAACTTGACTGGACATATAATGGTATGCAGTGTCTGTCTTTTCGTCCCTCCATCCACACTTGGATTTCAACAAAATAACTTCCTTAAAGATCGTTTTGATGAAACTTGATGTGCTTGTACCTTATACGAAAACAGACTAAGTTTGAATTGAAGCAAAATACAGGCATAATTAATTAATAAAATGTGCTCTGATTTGACAATTTCAAAACTTAAAGAGTCTGCAAGATAACTTGCCTAAATGTTGTTTGATTTTGATGAAACTTGGTATGCATATACATTATTTCAAGACTGAGGCTAAGATTGAAGTTGAATAAAATCTAGCTGTGCTTAATTGATAAACATGCTTTGCTCTGATAGGTTGCCATTTTCTGAACAAAAAGTTTGTCAAATATTCAAATAGTACTGGTTTTTGATAAAACTGTGGTCAACATTTATATTATACAATGACAAAGGCGAAGCATAAAAGTGAACTAAACCTGTGCATAGTTAATTAGTGTACTGCAATCTGATTAGACTTAGTCAATATGTAGTTCAGTTTCTATTTTCAAGGTTTGAAATATGTACATAGGGAGGCTATTGATTCCTATGCAAATCAAGTTTTCAATGGTCTTAAGGGATATCAGAAATATTCACATTCCTTCAGCTTAAGTTGATCAAGTAGAACATGTTGTCACCTTTCACGACATTCCAGGAATAGTCCTCAACATTTATACAGTACAAATGTTGTTTCCCCCTTACATTCCATATCAGTGGCGGATCCAGAGACCTATCTGGGGGGGGTTTCCTAATTTCCTGGGGGGGTTTCCATGTTGGAAAAAAATGAGGAAAATGGTGAAAATATATGATTTTTAAAGAAAATTCTCAGGGTGGGGGGGGTTTCCTGAAGCCCAAAAAACCCCTCTGGATCCGCCACTGCATATTTCCATATCTAGATACAATGATGAATCAGAATGATTTTAAGTATGTCAGATTTGCATGGGAAAGGTGTATATTGTTCTGCCCTACAGTAGTCTTGATTGTATTTTGGAGAGTGTGGGATAGTTTCCAAGTATATCTGAGGGTTTGAGCTAGTGTTTGTGTATAGGGGAGTGTGGGATAGTTTTGTATGTATCTGTGGGTTTGAGTGAGTGTTTGTATATAGGGGAGTGTGGGATTGTTTCATATGTATCTGTGGGTTTGAGCTAGTGTTTGTGTATAGGGGAGTGTGGGATAGTTTTGTATGTATCTGAGGGTTTGAGCTAGTGTTTGTATATAGGGGTGTGTGTGATAGTTTTGTATGTATCTGTGGGTTTGAGTGAGTGTTTGTATATAGGGGAGTGTGGGATAGTTTAATATGTATCTTAGGGTTTGAGTGAGTGTTTGTATATAGGGGAGTGTGGGATTGTTTCATATGTATCTTGAGGGTTTGAGCTAGTGTTTGTGTATAGGGGAGTGTGGGATTGTTTAATATGTATCTGAGGGTTTGAGTGAGTGTTTGTATATAGGGGAGTTTGGGATAATTTTGTATGTATCTGAGGGTTTGATCTAGTGTTTGTATATAGGGGAGTGTGGGATTGTTTTGTATGTATCTGAGGGTTTGATCTAGTGTTTGTATATAGGGGAGTGTGGGATAGTTTTGTTTATATCTGAGGGTTTGAGCTAGTGTTTGTATATAGGGGAGTGTGGGATAGTTTTGTATGTATCTGAGGGTTTGAGCTAGTGTTTGTATATAGGGGTGTGTGTGATAGTTTTGTATGTATCTGTGGGTTTGAGTGAGTGTTTGTATATAGGGGAGTGTGGGATAGTTTAATATGTATCTTAGGGTTTGAGTGAGTGTTTGTATATAGGGGAGTGTGGGATTGTTTCATATGTATCTTGAGGGTTTGAGCTAGTGTTTGTGTATAGGGGAGTGTGGGATTGTTTAATATGTATCTGAGGGTTTGAGTGAGTGTTTGTATATAGGGGAGTTTGGGATAATTTTGTATGTATCTGAGGGTTTGATCTAGTGTTTGTATATAGGAGAGTGTGGGATAGTTTAATATGTATCTTAGGGTTTGAGTGAGTGTTTGTATATAGGGGAGTTTGGGATAATTTTGTATGTATCTGAGGGTTTGATCTAGTGTTTGTATATAGGGGAGTGTGGGATAGTTTTGTTTATATCTGAGGGTTTGATCTAGTGTTTGTATATAGGGAAGTGTGGGATTGTTTTGTATGTATCTGAGGGTTCGATCTAGTGTTTGTATATAGGGGAGTGTGGGATAGTTTTGTTTATATCTGAGGGTTTGATCTAGTGTTTGTATATAGGGGAGTGTGGGATAGTTTTGTTTATATCTGAGGGTTTGATCTAGTGTTTGTATATAGGTGAGTGTGGGATAGTATTGTATGTATCTGAGGGTTTGAGCTAGTGTTTGTATATAGGTGCGTGTGGGATAGTTTAATATGTATTTGTCGTTTTGAGCTAGTGTTTGTATATAGGCGAGTGTGGGATAGTTTTGTATGTATCTGAGGGTTTGATCTAGTATAGGAGAGTGTGGGATAGTTTTGTATGTATCTGAGGGTTTGATCTAGTATAGGAGAGTGTGGGATAGTTTTGTATGTATCTGTGGGTTTGAGTGAGTCTTTGTATATAGGGGAGTGTGGGATAGTTTAATATGTATCTTAGGGTTTGAGTGAGTGTTTGTATATAGGGGAGTGTGGGATTGTTTTGTATGTATCTGAGGGTTCGATCTAGTGTTTGTATATAGGGGAGTGTGGGATTGTTTCATATGTATCTTGAGCGTTTGAGCTAGTGTTTGTGTATAGGGGAGTGTGGGATTGTTTCATATGTATCTGTGGGTTTGAGCTAGTGTTTGTATATAGGGGAGTGGGGGATAGTTTAATATGTATTTGTCGTTTTGAGCTAGTGTTTGTATATAGGGGAGTGTGGGATAGTTTTGTTTATATCTGAGGGTTTGAGCTAGTGTTTGTGTATAGGGGAGTGTGGGATAATTTTGTATGTATCTGAGGGTTTGATCTAGTGTTTGTATATAGGAGAGTGTGGGATAGTTTTGTATGTATCTGTGGGTTTGAGCTAGTGTTTGTATATAGGTGAGTGTGGGATAGTTTAATATGTATCTGAGGGTTTGAGCTAGTGTTTGAGCTAGTGTTTGTATATAGGTGAGTGTGGGATAGTTTTGTATGTATCTGTGGGTTTGAGTGAGTCTTTGTATATAGGGGAGTGTGGGATAGTTTAATATGTATCTGAGGGTTTGAGCTAGTGTTTGAATATAGGTGAGTGTGGGATAGTTTAATATGTATCTGAGGGTTTGGGCTAGTGTTTGTATATAGGTGAGTGTGGGATAGTTTAATATGTATTTGTCGTTTTGAGCTAGTGTTTGTATATAGGTGAGTGTGGGATAGTTTTGTATGTATCTGAGGGTTTGATCTAGTGTTTGTATATAGGAGAGTGTGGGATAGTTTTGTATGTATCTGAGGGTTTGATCTAGTGTTTGTATATAGATGAGTGTGGGATAGTTTAATATGTATCTGAGGGTTTGAGCTAGTGTTTGAATATAGGTGAGTGTGGGATAGTTTAATATGTATCTGAGGGTTTGAGCTAGTGTTTGTATATAGGTGCGTGTGGGATAGTTTAATATGTATTTGTCGTTTTGAGCTAGTGTTTGTATATAGGAGAGTGTGGGATAGTTTTGTATGTATCTGTGGGTTTGAGTTATTGTTTGTATATAGGGGAGTGTGGGATAGTTTTGTATGTATCTGAGGGTTTGATCTAGTGTTTGTGTATAGGGGAGTGTGGGATAGTTTTGTATGTATCTGTGGGGTTGAACTAGTTTTCATAATTATATATTTGAGCAATTCAGACTTTCATAGCAATGTTCATCATTAGGATCACTACTGAATGATGTCTCACCTACAGTGGTATTTTCATAAACCATGTTTTCCTGGCCTGATGTGGTTGGTACAGTTCCCGAATGTTTGGCGACAGTTTGACGTCTTTTATGTAGAAAGTAGACAAGTCCTACACCCACAACAATGGCCAAAAGTATGGAGAGAGCAACAATCACTCCAATGTAGGCACTGTGTGATGTTTGAGACTCGGGTTGAAGAAGATTTGGTTCTGTTGATGTGAGTTGGTTCTGCTCTAGATCTGTTGTAACCAACACGAGACACTGTGATATTACTAATCCAGTGTTTATCTGACATTGTCAGGCACACTAGATCACGTTTTTCATCAACATTATCAGAAAGTGTCCAGGTGTCTTTATCAACTACTGAAAAGTTTGCTACCAGCTTGCATTCCCTGAAAACTTCAACAGTGGCCAGTGATTGTGATATGGTTTGTACATATTTTGATGACATGTTCCACTGTAGGGTTTGGTTTTGATTTTTAAACACAAGTCCATTCCCAAAACATGCCTGTATATTTTCCTTCGATGAATACACCATGTCACCTGCATCACAAGGTGAGATTTCCAGGCAGGTTACTGAAGTCCCCTCTAGCTCTGCAGGATAGCTACACTGTCCAAGGTCTGTGGTGAAGGTGTAGTTTCTCAGCCAGGCCGTGGAACAGGAACAGACCAGTGGGTTTCCATGGAGCTGAACCACAGACAAAGATGGCCACAAGGAAAATCCAGAGTCTGGGATAGTCAGAATGTGATTTCCTGCCAGATTAAGTTTTTCCAGTTTTGATAGACTTTTTATACTTTCTGGAAATATTGTAAGCTGGTTAAAGCTCAAATCAAGTTCTCTGAGGAGAGGCAGTCCAATGAAAGCATTGGGTGTGATTGTGGTGATCTTATTGCCACTCATAATCAGGTATAGGAGATTTGATGAGTTGGCGATTGGTTCCGGTATCTCAGTGAAATCATTGTGACTGACATTTAACATCACAAGTTTATCCATTATACATGTTTCACTGTGAGGTAAGGCATGAAGGAAATTGTAGGAGAAATCCAGTCCTAAAATAATATCAGGACATTCAATCTGTTCCTGGGAATCACAGCTGGGGAAGTCAGTCAGCATGTTTTTAGTTATGTTAATAACTATCCTAGGCCGAGAGAAACGCAAGCGTGACGTACAATCTTTTATCATATTTGAAACAGTTTTTACTTTATTTCTACTCAAATCAAAAACTAAAAGGGATGAATAAATATAGAAACCATAAGTTGTCTGAAAATCTAAAACATCAGTGATTGACTCTATTTGATTATCTGATGAATTTAAATAAAATGTGGAATATCTGAAATGCCTGGTTTGCCTTGCAAAAGTAACAGGAAAAGTATGTTTTAAAGTATTGTTGCTAATGTCTACATTAATATATGACCCATAAATATCATAACCTTCAAAATTAACATTATTTACGCTAGAAATATTACTTGAGGAAAAATCAAGAATTCTTGTTTGCCGATACAGATAAAGGATTTCTATGAATGGGAGTTCCTGTACATTGTTTAAAGATGCATTCAAATGTACTATTTTACTCAGTTGTGATAGATTTACTGACTTCATATTGTTTTCAGCTAGATCTAAGTATTTTAGATTTGGCATTTCCTGTGTGATGAAAGATTCATTCAGATATGTTAAGTGGTTTCCCTTCAATGAGAGTTTTACAACAGAAACATTGAGTGGGCATTGGTGAAGCGTTAAGATTCCATTCCTGTCCAAGTTAATATTGACTTGGCTGGACACATTTGATCTTAGGTGACACAGGAATTGAGAGGGAACACAATTGTCTGCCAGGTTCAGTGTTATATCAGAGGGAATCACAATCTCTGGGATATCTGTGTTAGTACACAGGAATGTTGTGTTCTGTAAGGCGACACTGTATATAGTCCTGTTAGGGAAATGAGTCAAAACGTCCATCACACTCGCTGTGGAAAATGGGTTGTTTGATCCGTTAAAGTTGGTCCATGGAGGCAGGTTTGGAGGTATTGTTAGTAGTACATTGGAGGAGATGTCAAACAAACTGAAAGTGCTGTTTTGGTTTGAGGAGAGGCGCATTGTTGTAAGTTTGTTGTGATGAATAGCAAACCTACAATCCCAGCAGTCTAGGATGGTCAGATCTACACTGACCAGAAGATTGAAGGACAAATCAAGCGTGAACGAGGACATAAATCTGGTTCCCACGGCAAACATGTCCTCGGCAACCTTGGTGATAGAGTTGTGATGAAATAACAGAACAAGCATAGTCTGTTGGTTAACAAATGCTGGTCCTACTTCAGAAAGCATGTTGTATGAAATGTCAAATGTCTGTAGGTTTGTCATGCTGGATAACATGTTATCATTGACATGATCTATCTGGTTGTGAGACAAGTTAAGATTTCTCACCTGTTGTAAGTGCTCCAGACAGAACCACACATCTGTCATCAGCTGGTTGTGGGACAGATTGATATCCCGCAGGTGCTTGCCAGACGATACGAACGACCTTGGATGAATGTACTCTAGACGGTTCTCACTTACATCAAGGTTTTCTAAGCTTGTAAATTGATGAAGTTCATTGTTGCTGATTCTGTGGAGTTTGTTTCCTCTGATGTTGAAGGTTTTCAATGGGTTCTCGTTGTAGACATCTGTGGACATGTCAGAACTCATTGTAAATATTTGGTTGTGTGACACGTCAAGGTGTTCCAAATACCCAGGAATACTGTGTTCAGGAACACATGTGATCAAGTTCTTACTCAAAGTCAACTCTCTCAGGTGATTCAAGTTATTGAGGGAACACGCAGGAAAATAGTCCAGCAGGTTGTCGTCAAGGTTGAGAATAGTCAACTCCCGCCTATTGTTGGTAAACGTGTCACATGACAGGTGTTGTAAACCAATGTTCTCAAGGGTGAGTTGTTTCACTAGTGTGTCTCGGAATGAATTCTTGTCTAGATTTCTCATGATCCATTTCCCGTTTAATGCCAGGAGATTGAGAGTTCCGTTGTACTTTGGGAAACTGGGTATAACATTGGTGCGATCCTGGTAACAAGTAATTCTTTTGTAATATGTAGACAAACTACATCTAGTGACCACACTTACAGGCACTGACCACACCAACAGGACAGCAAGCAAAGAAACATCCTTCTTAAATGTGTTGAAATTCCGGCCTTACTGACAGATCAGTTTGTGTTGTTTGTATTTTCAGGTTTAATTTCCTGGTTCTGTGCTCCGTGTGGTATGCCCGAGTGAAGGAGTATTTATGTATATACAATGACATAACGGCAATACGTTTTCGCGATTTGACTTGCTGGTTTCAAGTTTCATTAAACTGCTGTCTTGTATGCTTTAGTGACAGAAATCTATGGTGTACTGGAATATTTTTAAAGGAACTCAATGCACACATTTTCTTAAAAGATCCTGTGGTTTAGGTTTTTAAAAAAAAATCTCAAAACCTTTCCAAAAAGATAAAGGGGAGTTAAATACCAGGTAATGATAGCTGATATTTCTGTCTATATTCTGTGTATCAGTTAATGGTCTCCATACACACATGTATATTTATACCTGGCTTTTCATAGGCATAATGATGCTTGTTTTTAGTCCCCCAAATTAAGGTTCCTTGATACGGTGGTATTGGTGGGTACAAGTTTGTCATCTGTCTGTCCATTCATCTGAAACGTTTGTCCTCCTGGGCATATCTTCTATACTATTTCACCAAGAGTAAGAAGATTTGGTATGCAAGTACATCTTGGGGTGGCAGAATGTCAAGTACAAATAGTACTGGTCACTGTGACCTATAGTTTGACCTTTGAAAAAGTTTGTCTGGGGCATATCTTCTATCCTATTTCACTAGGAGTAATCAAATTTGGAATGTATATAAAGTGCATCTTTGAGTGCATGGTCGAGTGTCAAGTACAAAAAGTAGGTCACTGTGATGTATGGTTTGACCTTTGACCTCAACCTTTGAAAAAGTTTGTCTGGAGCATATCTTCTGTACTATTTCACTAGGAGTAATCAGATTTGGAATGTATATAAAGTGCATCTTTGAGTGCATGGTCGAGTGTCAAGTACAAAAAGTAGGTCACTGTGATGTATGGTTTGAACTTTGACCTCAACCTTTGAAAAAGTTTGTCTGGGGCATACCTTCTGTACTATTTCACCAGGAGTAACCAGATTTGGTATGTTAGTGGGTTGGCGGAGAGACAATTGACATTTATCTGACATTTTTAGTTGTCTCCATACATCAAGTGACTGCCATATCTGGTTGTCTCCATACATCAATTAGCTGACATTTTTGTTTTCTCCATGTGTCATTTCACCGTTATTTCTGGTTTCTCCAAACTTGGTCACTGGGTTAAATGCCTTAAGAGCTCGGCCTAGTTCGATGACCACTTTTAGCAGACCCCATTTGGCGGAGTTATGGCCCCTTGAATAACGAAAAACGTAATTATCTACTGGGTTGTGTTTCTGTGCAATAACTACAACAAATGTTAACCGATTTTCTTCAAACTTGGTCACAAGGTTAAATCCCTTAAGGGCTCGGCCAAGTACGATGACCACTTTCAGGGGACTTTATTTGGCGGAGTTATGGCCCCTTGAATAACGAAAAACGTCATTATCTGCTGTTTCTGTTTATTAACTCTCATTATCCGATTGTCTTCAAACTTTCCAAGTTGACATCGGCAAAAATCCAGCAAACAGTCAAGTCATTAATACGGAACAACAACTGCCTTATTGCGATATATATTTGCAAATCTGAAGATGAAAATGGTATATATTCACTTACATATTGATAATCAATTATTAAGTTCAATTGCAAAACAGAGACAAGTATGTAGGCCGATGTTTTCTCGAGTAATGACGAAAGTTCAGTTGTATACTGATCAGAATGTGGAGGGTGGATTGAAACTACAATTACGGATTAATAGTTTGATCGACCACCTGGTCAGATGTATTTGATTTGGCACATGTAAAGGTAATATAACAATTAAGTTATAAATCAGTGATCGGTAGCCAGGTCACGATTATATAATCAAATTGTAATCACAGTAATATCATGACAATACACACGTCTGTCAGCGATGTGACGTAACATTCCCCGCTCCATGTACTGTTAGGATATTACTGAGGCCTAAAGATCTTTGACTGGTGCGTGCACATGTTTACAAGAAAGAAACTCAATTATCGCTGGCAAATGGGGGGCGACAAATGCACGAGTCCCCCCCAGGAAATATACATGTAGGACTAGGCTGGAGATGGTCATGACTGTGGCAGTAGGGCTGTTACCTACTGGAGAACGTAGGACTGTTACCTACTGGGGAAAGTAGGGCTGTTACCTATTGGAGAAAGTAGGGCTGTTACCTACTTGAAGTTTCATGACCATGGCGGAGCCTGAGACCAGAGGAAACTGAAGTTGCAGAGAGGAGAGATGATTGGAGCGAGTGCTGCCAACCAGACAGTCACGACCCGGTTTATCCAGCCTATTTATAGATGAGAGATGAGCTAATGGGCTCAGACAATGAATATGTAGGAATATTTAATTATTTGGGGGCACTTATATAGGAATTATATAAGAAAGCCAGTTTGGAAGAACGAAGTATTGGCGATAAGTAGAAATGGGAATGCTTCGTGAGTACAAAGCCCCCAAAAGATTATTATAGTTAATATAGGTAAAGTTTTGGTAATGTTCTGTGTCAGTGTGGATGGGGTTGTGCGGGGTATGATGGGGGAAAAGTCATAGTTCTACATTATGTTTCAAGAAATGTTAAATATAAACACGCCATCTCGTTGAAGATATGGATATGTGAAAGACAATAAGACTGAACACTTAGGTTTTGAGAACATATTCCTCACTATGAAATCCCATGTCTGATCACGAACAGTTGTATACATACTTGTGTAAAGGCAGACAGATACACTTACATATTGTAGTTCATCCAAATAGTCAAAGAGTATGACTGGTAATAGCAGAACACACATAGGATGGCACGTGATGATTAAGACAGAGTTCTTCAAGAGGGAAAAGTACAAGTATAAAGGCACATGACATCTCAGCTAGCGATGACACAAGTTAATCTGTGCTTTCCTAATGTCGTCTGTATCCAGACGAATGTATCGTAAATAACAGTCAGAAGACCACCGACCTAAGGTTTTGACCATGTGGTCGGGAATGTCACACTTGGCAGCTGTGGTAGCTGCCCCTATCCGGAAGCTGTGGCCATTGTAAAAGTTAGCTTCGAGACCTAGGTCTGTAATGATGGATTTGATGGCCGATATGAAGTAAGGCTGACTGAGTACGGCACCGTTGGCGGTGATGAAGAGGGGGTCTGTTGTGGAAGCCCCTGTATAGGTTCTGAGCAGTAAGTACTCTTTCATGAGGTTGACGGGACATGAAGAGGTTGATGTCGCGTGGATGTGAATTTTTACACCATGTCGAAACACATCTGTTTTAGAACTGGGTAGGTGTAAGGTGTAAGCTGAGAGCTGGTCATTAGGCACGATATCCATGATGCGAAGTGAATTATTAGTGAATTCACCACAACGAAGATAACCAAAGAAGGCCATGCTGCAAGCCACTGACAACATGAGGTTATTGAAAGAACCAAGTGTGGTTTGACCTTTGGTAAGCCTGTTGATGATCTTTAACAGGAGATCATGGGTAATTGGAAGGCGGTTGGGTTCAGAGTTGCACTGGGACCTCTCGACTCATCAAAGGATGAGTTGTAGTCTGTCTAGCATGGCTGGTTGGGAGAGAGGGCAGTTTATGTTGTAGGTGATGTAGAAGTGACGAACACCAGCGAGGTATTGCTTGATGGATTGATAGTTAAGTTTTTTGTTTACTCAGAAAGCCACGAAGTAGATCAGAGTATCCTCGTCCACTTCTGGGGGGGCGGGACTTGTGGAGGTCCACAATGAATGGAGCACGAGAAATCTTTTGTACAGGGTTGATGCAGAATTGTAAACGTTGATGGTACCTTGTGCTAGGGATGGTTCCCAGAGCCTCGTCACTGTCGGATTTAGGGAAGAGTTTGTCCAGTGAGGGGATCTTGTGAGGGTAGTGGTCCGCATGTGGCGCCAGTGCCCAGAACTTCTTGATCTGTTGACGAGAAAGACAATCGCTTAATACATTGTATTTTCCTGGTATGTGTTTTGCATGCACGTTTTCATTAGCTGCACAAAGGGTAAGGGTACGTATGAGTTTCATAATCATTGGAGATTTACTGCGACCTTTTGTGATTATGGCCACGGTGGTGATGTTGTCACAATGGAAAAGGATGCGCTTGCGGGGCCAGTTTTTGGACCACAGGATTGCACTCACTACGATTGGAAAGAGTTCCATGTAAGCCATGGACATGTCTTTGTAACCGAGTTTTGGCATGGTATTTGGCCATGGCTCGGCAAACCATTTTCCCTGGAAGTAACCACCGTATCCATGAGTTCCACTTGCATCAGTAAACAGTTCGAAATCGGCGGAATCGGTTAGGTTGTCATCATGAAAGAACGAAATTCCGTTCCATGTCTGCAAGAATGAGCGCCACATGAAGATTTCGCTAACACAGTCACGGTTAATGGAGACATGAAAATGACGTTCTTTAACAGAGTGAGCGAGGGTAAGAGATAGGAAACAAAGCTTCTCCCTGGAATGATAATGCGCGATGCGTAGTTGAGGTGTCCAAGCAGACTTAATAGTTCGCGTTTTGTTGCTGTTTTTCGTGTCGCAAATTCGGTCAGAACCTCGATGATACGTGAGATTTTTTCCGGGGGAAGCAATGCCTGCAGTTTGATGGTGTCCAAGTCTATGCCTAGGAAAGTCATGTAGATGTCAGGCCCGAGGGTTTTGTCGGGGTGTAATGGTATGTTAAGTCTATTGAAGACGAACTGAAGGGTTTCCATGGTCTAATGGCCATTATTCTGCACGGGGTCGATGGTTAAGAAGTCATCCAACAGAAATAACATTTTTGATATACCATAGTTGTGCGTAGCTATGTAGTGGATGGCCTCCGAGAGCATAGTGAAAATCTTGGGGCTACTCCTTGACCCGAAACAAAATCGAACGAAGAAGTAGAATTTGTCTTCCCATTGTATGCCATGAAATTTCCAGAGATCTGGACGAATAGGCAAGAGTTTGAATGCATCAACAATGTCTGTTTTGTTGAGACTGGAACCTTTCCCAAGTTTTTTAATTTCGGAAATGGCATCGTCGACCCGCACATACTTGACCGAATATTGATCTTTGTCGATGAGTTTATTTAGGCTGGTATGTTGTGGGTTA